ATGTTTTCTTCAAGAGTGGCCGCCGTCACGCGGACGCTGACTGCTTATCGCGACTTCCCCTTCCCATGACTGAATGCGACGCCGACAATTTAGATGATTGTCTGGCTGCTCTTAATTCAGATTTGGAAGCGTTCCATGCAAAACAATGTCAAGACCGTAGTCTGGCTCCTTTTTTTCTCATCTGCCGTCGATAAGCCGCAGCAGAGCCCATTCGTCATACAGGATGGCATTCTTTACAAGCTAAATTTCGCTGCAAAGGGGGCACGCCTACTTTTGGTTGACACCAAATTATTGCGACCCAACTTGCTGCAAGTTATGCACGACAATGCAACATCCGGGCATATGGGGTTCGCCAAGACCTATCACAGCACACTGAAACATTTCTACTTGCCCCACATGCGTCAGGCTACAGCTAAATATGTGACCAGCTATGAGCATTGTCAACGGTACAAGAGTCCAACAAGTGGGCCGCCAGGATTTCTCCATCCCATACCGCCTCCATGTTTTCCCTTTGAGGTTGTCGGTATTGACTTGATGGGCCCTTTTCCACGATCTATCACTAGGAACCGCTGGATTATAGTCTGTGTAGACCACCTCACTCGGTATGGTGAAACCGCAGCGATCTCTGCCGCAACAGCCGATCACGTTCATGACTTCCTGCTACACTACATCATCCTCCGGCATGGGTCCCCTCATGCTATCATCAGCGACCGTGGCCGGCAGTTTGTAGCCGACGTCGTGAAAGAGTTGATTCGCCAGTCTGCTTCCCAGTTTCGTCATGCCACTTCATACCATCCACAGACCAACGGTTTGACTGAGCGTGTCAACAGGACGCTCATCAACATGCTCGCTATGTACGTTGATTCCAAGCATTAAAACTGGGACGAAGTTTTACGCTTTATGACCTACGCCTACAACACTGCGCTACAAGAGACCACCGGCTTTAGCCCGTTTTACCTTCTCTACATTCGTTCTTCTCTACAACCGCGGTTACCTTCTCTACAAGCGCGGCGGGTACGGAAAATGTCCAACAAAGGCCGAGAACAGAGTACTCGAAGCTTCGAAAGTATGCGTGCGACCGGCGCACGCACTATCTTCTACAGTGCGTGTGATTCTCGTTGCCATAACCGCTGCGGACGAAACTGCAATCGCTTTTGCCAGATCATGTATGGCGACGACGTAACTTACAGAACCCCAAAAGTGTGCGCTCAACCAGTCAAAGCAACGCTGCTTTCCACAAACTCTGCGGACAAAACTGTGGCAGATGCTATCGTAGATGGCATAAAATGACTTAGTTTTGAAGGCGCGTGCGCAGTCAAGCGCATGAGGATTGTAAAATGAACTACCGTTTGCTGCAACCACTGCGCACTAAACCGCGGTTGCGGCGATCGATGAGCTCCGAGGGCACGCAGCGGTAGGTTAAAGGCAGCAAATACGTAAAAAATAAAGAAAGTTACAGTTTCGCTGCAAGGACAGAACAATAGGTGCAACAGCAACAACTTGGAGTGTAACGCTGAAAACGGCAAGCTGATTAAAACGTGCAGCGCCCTGCTCACACATGAATGACGCACGAAAACGATACTCGGACGAGAGCAAATTAACAATGTTTACTTCTTGACACGTAATGCGCTGTTTAAACAAAAAGAATACATGATACGTAATCCCAGGTACAGATCAGTACAAACTAACAAGTGTCCCACTTGTTATACCTTGCTGTGTATGAAAAGCGCGCTGTTTTCGCAAAAGGGGCCTGTGCAGAGACCTAAGTGACCTTTGTGGGCCCGGCAACTAACGCTTTTGTTTCACTAAAAGCCGAAGGCACACGATTCTCCCACCAAAGGATAAGCGCCCGCACACAGGCATCCATCCATGGGGCAAAGTACCTGTGAGAGGTGAGCACGCATCGGTACATCGCGACGAGTTCGGCACCCAGCGCGGGTGGCTTTTTTTCTTTAAGTGTTTGTATATATAGATATGTATACATTTATGGTGAAGGACGGGGACATTGGTGATGGGGAAAAAAAAACAGGCTGGACTGTTGATATACACAATAAAAATGGGCCAGACGCGTTTCGGTGTTTCTGTCAAAGTAATCTAGTAGTGAGCAAAGCTTTGACCCGTGCTTTTGCGGCAGCCAGCTGCGCCGTCCCGTTCGTTCACGTGTGTCCCGGGAAGACACACGCGCGGTGTTTTGACTGAAATAGATTCTGGTAGTTGTGTTGATTCTTTGGGACTCGCACCTTAGTGAAAAACTATACTCGTGTGTTCGGCCACTCCTAGCCACTATAAGAGCAATGCTGATGTTGGCACTTGCGATTGAGACCCCCCTCCCACCCCCTTTGTTTTGCGCGATGTTTTTTGTTTGACCTTGTTTTTTTTTGTGCCGAGCACTCCCCCCCCCCCCCCCCCCCCCCCACCTAATTGCAGAAATCTCCCGGGTTCAGAATCCTTGAACTTGAAAGGTACGTACATTCTTTTTTTTTTTTGGTAATGTACTCGATTCTTGGCCGATCCCCCAGGGTGGGTGTGAGCCACGAGGTTAGGATCTACATGTACCAGTGAGAAGAACTGAATACGTTTTCATTAGTGATCCAGATTTGTTCTTTCTCGCTCATTGGCCTTGTTTTCATATACCGCAGATAATCTATGTACAGAAGAAACTGACAAGTATAAATGTCAACATAAGTGAGGCAATTGCATTTGATATCTCAAACCATATTCCTAATATTGAATATCATGACATCAACATGATAAAAACATCAACAACATTAACATCAACATGATAAGAAAGTATAAAGAGAGACTAGAGGACAAATAGCGAAAAGAGAAAGAACTAGCTACTGTACATATGGTGATTGTAGAGAAAAACTGGGAAGAGGTGCCTACGTGTAATACAAAGAAGACTTTGGGGGTAGAGAAAGTGACAATGAATCTTTCGCTGTAAAGTTCATAGGCCAAATAGTTAAGAGATGTAGTCAGTAAATTTGGGGAGATCTTTTCAGATTTAACTGGACGTACAGAGATGGTGAAGTGTGAGCTCCAATGCTCCACAGAAGAACCGGTATATGTCAAGCAGTACTCCTCCAAGAGAAAGAGGGAAGTCTTCACCCTGTGTTCTTTGCAAGTAAGAAGCTGAATAGCACAGTGCAGAATTACTCCACTATTGAAAGAGAGTGTTTGGCTTTGGTATGGGCAGTAAAGAAATTTGACATATTCATGTGGAAAGCCTTTCAGAGTACAGATCATCAACCGTTAAAATTTTTTAGCAGGGCAAGACTATTGAACGAAAGGGTGATGAGGTGGAGCCTGATATAGCAGGAATATTGTTTCCACGTGAAGTATATCAAGGATAGACAAAACATGGCAGTAGATTTTATGAGCAAAGCCATGTGAATTATGTGACAGTGTGTTGGGAAGTACGTATTATGTGGACATTGGGTACGGGAACATTAGGTGCGGCCATGTGCGAACAATGTGTGAACGATAGCAGTGATGCCGCATGAACAAAAAAGTGCAGTGATTGCTGAATAAGTACATGATGAAGTCAGCGGAATGTGGTAAGAAACCAAGAAGAACAAGGTGCAGCCTTGCATACATCTTATGAAGAATGGGAATGAGCAGTTTTCTGAGAAAAAAAACTATTTAAAAAGGGGCCCAATGTCATGAGTAAAGGAGAGGCACGAGGCACGTGCCGAACGTGGAAGCGCTGCGACGGTCTGGGAGAAGAAAAAGAGTCACCCGAGAGCATGCATACTGGACGTGTAGACGCAAGAGATTGGTCGCAGAAACGCTCGTGGCATGCGACACAGGTTTGGAAAAAAAATCCCAGAGGATGAGCTGACACTGTGCATTGGCATGTCAAGCTGCGAGGACGTAGGGAATGAGCGTCGCTATTGTGACTAAGGCAGCATGATTGCCCGGTTCTGAGGATGTCGGTGTGAGAACCGGGGAATGGCCATCGACCTTGGAGGTTCCGAGTTAGGCTGCCCGGGCTCGCCGCACCCTTGCTCGCACCCTCGCCGCACCACCAGTTCCTGGTTGACTTGCAGCTCTCCCACTTCACGACAGGACAGCAGCCCACAACAGTCAGCAGAGTGGACTCGTTATCAAGGGATGACGAGGCTAAGCCTAGCCTAGCGAGGCCGAAGAAGACGATAGAGTCCAGGCCACCAGCGACAATGGCGAGCGATTTGTTCGGTGAGACCAACCGACAGCGACAGTAGGAGCTTGAGGAGAAAGTCAACGACATACGTTGCAAACCTCGGCATGGCATTGGAGAAAAGCAGACATGAGTCGTAAGATTCTTCAATTTTGGAAACACCATATTGGATTATGAGCAGTGGCTAGGGCTGAAAACCAATTTAGACTGGTTTGCAGATTATTTTGCTTGTACTGTTATTGGGGTAATTTTTTGTCTGCGAGTGTTAGTTTCGTTCTTGTTTTCGATTTTGTGCCTTTTATCTTTTTGGTTATAAAGTGTGTTTGTTGTGTAAGCCGTGCCCGTCTTTCGACTCTCTCAATTCCATCCAATGTAAGCACTCCCGAGATAAGTATGTGACAAACATTGTTGTGCAAGCATCACATTCGGAAATATAGGAAAATTTGCAGCAAGGGATTCGAATTCATGACCATTCGGTCAGCATGTGCGTACACTAACCACTACACCATACTTCGCTACGGCACCGTTTGAAAAGAAACAGGTTTGTGTAGGCACCCATGAGCCGTTTGCACACTGCACAAATATTCCTGCAGTTACTCCAAAAAAGGGAGCTTTACTCCCCAAGGAGAAAAGTGCCTCTCTGCTGTGCCATGGGCAATCTTTTGCATACATTTTGTCTTTTGAAAGAGCAAAGAGCCCTTTTCGGATTATTGCACAGTTCCTTCAGAAAACTTTTTAGAGTGCATGACATAACTGTAGAATGAGATACTCAAGCAGGGCCTCGCATGCATGCACATCAAGGTTGAAGTGGCTGACTAGTGCTGCTGTTGTGACTGTGCAGGACTGGGACTTTCCGCACTTTGTGTGCGACTTGAACATCAAACTGCCTGGTTTGCACGCTGCCTCCTTCAAGTACCACATGTTCCAGAAGTATGTCCACTTGCCTGAAATTGTCTTCCACATTAGTGGTAAGTGTATTGCTTGTCAACCAACTCTCAGGCCATATTTTTTAATTTTAATGTTGCATCCAATGCCTACCATGTGTCCTGCTCTAAAATAAGGAGTGTGCGGCATAAAATAGTCACAATTGGTAATGATTAATTAAGCCTGCAGTTTCCTGTTGTACTGACAGCTTGTAAGCGGGATATGTCGAACCTAAAGAAATACGAGTTTGGCACACATGTAACATTCTTTGTATCACTTCCTTTCTGTTCTGATGATAAAAATAAGAATTTATAGTGGTTTCCCAACTCTTTAAGTGTGATAAGAAGGATCGCTATCATATTGAATGGCCCCTCACCAGGTTTGACAATTTTCAAATGATGAGCACAATGCATACAGTGGGCGTTCACGTCTGCCTAAACTTGCAATGCTACGCGCTGCGGAAATGGGGCAAAAAATCTAACTTAACGCTACTTGTCCTTCTTGTGGGCCTGTGCCCAGAGAATGAGGGGATGACATACGCGATGGAATAGCACTACGTAGAGGGTAGTGCTGTGATGTCACTCCTCTTCGTAAGCAACTGTGCTCTGATGGCGCTAACAGTAGCACATGAGTGAGGGAGTGAGTGAAATAACTTTTATTTGGTCTAGAGAGAGAGAGAGAAAACTTTATTAAAAAGTCAGTCAATTGTTCAGGCATGGCCTGTCGGCCGGAATCCCTTGGGACGCGGCAGCAGCAAGGGCTTGACTAAAGATGTGACAATGTGTCGGAAGTACGTAGTATGTGGAAATTGGGTACGGGAACATTAGGTGCTGCCATGTGCGAACAATGTGTGAACAATAGCAGTGATGCCGCATGAACAAAAAAGTGCAGTGATTGGTGAATAAGTACATGATGAAGTCAGCGGAATGTGGTAAGAAACCAAGAAGAACAAGGTGCAGCCTTGCATACATCTTATAGAGAATGGGCACGGTGGCACTTCAGGCATGCGGACGTCTGATAACCCGTTCGTCTTCCTTGTGCAGTTTTTCCTCGGCCTGCTTCTCACCTCCGGTGGGGGCAGCTTGCGATCCGGGAAGAACACTACGGCGCAGGCCCACAGTCTGGCGTACTACCATGCGCCAACAATCCCGTCCTGCACGTCATCGGAGATGTCGCCTCATCATTCGCCGTTACCCATCCTGATTCTGACTGCGCATGATCAGCACCCAGGACCACCCACCAGCTCACCTACAAAAGCTCGTGCAGCGCACTCGACGCTTCTTGGGCACGGTGGCACTTCAGGCATGCGGACGTCTGATAACCCGTTCGTCTTCCTTGTGCAGTTTTTTCCTCGGCCTGCTTCTCACCTCCGGTGGGGGCAGCTTGCGATCCGGGGAGAGCACTACGGCGCAGGCCCATAGTCTGGCGTACTATCATGCGCCAACAATCCCGTCCTGCACGTCATCGGAGATGTCGCCTCATCATTCGCCGTTACCCATCCTGATTCTGGCTGCGCATGATCAGCACCCAGGACCACCCACCAGCTCACCTACAAAAGCTCGTGCAGCGCACTCGACGCTTCTTGGGCACGGTGGCACTTCAGGCATGCGGACGTCTGATAACCCGTTCGTCTTCCTTGTGCAGGTGAGGAAGAAATACGGAAAATGTATACGCTCTGACGATCCTTTTTTGTTTGTGCTACCGTGCCCACGGTTTTCTTGTATGCCATGTTGTGTTGGGATGTTTTTGCGAAAATTACTACTCTTAGGGGGAGACATCGAGACTAACCCGGGACCTGCGCAAGATCAAATCGCAAGCGCACTAAAAGAAATCGCCGCGGATATTAAGTTCATCAAGGAAAAGCGTCTTGTCGATATTGATAAAAAGCTAGACGCTTTATCAAGACTCGAAGAGAAGGTTAGTCTCTGTCATGATGAGCTTGTCAGCATGAAACGTGCATATGAATTGCTGGAAAGGAAGGCCGACGACCTAGAAAACAGAAGTAGGCGATCGAACTTAATTGTTTATGGCCTACCTGAAGTTGACGGAGAGACGAGTGAAATTCTTGAACAAGCAGTGAATAAGACTATTGTTCAGGACACCCTCGGCCTTGAACGAGTTTCTATCGAACGAATACACCGCTTAGGACGAGTGGAACGGAACAAAAATAGACCAGTCATTTTCAAGCTGCTAGATTTTAGGCAGAAATCATCGATACTTAAAAGCGGATACAAACTGAAAAACACCAGCTTCTCAATCGGAGAAGACTTTTCGCCTAGAATCCGAGACATCAGGCGAAAGCTATGGAACAGCGCCAAAGAAAATCGAGAAAAGAAGGAGAAGGTGTCGTTAGTGTTTGATAAATTGTTCATCAATAACCAAGCCTTTACCTGGGATGAAGAAAAGAACGACAAGGTTCTCGCCCAAAAAAAGGACGAGGTGCGATCAAGACCGCAAACTCGGCAAGCTCGTCTACACGCAAAATCGAAGCCTTGACTATATTGAATGTTAACGCAAGAAGTGTTCTAAACAAAATAGATGCTCTTGAAAATCTTATACTAGAATACAGTCCTGATATAGTAGGTGTCATTGAAACATGGCTTTCTTCCGAGATATACGATAGTGAAGTTGTTCCTCCAAATTATTACGTTATCCGTAAGGATAGACCTTCTCGTGGCGGGGGCATCGCTCTACTCATAAAGAAATGCCATTCATATGTATCGCTTCCAGCTGTAACAGATGCTGAGGCAATTTTCTGCCGGATTCTTTGCGATAGCACTTCTATATTCGTTGGATGCGTTTATCGAGGTCCGTCATCCGGACACGAGTGCATAACTGCAGTTCATGACTTGATGCAGCGTCATGTTCGCAACTCTCGTGTCCTGCTTATGGGAGATTTTAATCTCCCAGACATTGACTGGACTACGCTAAACCACACATCATCTGCCTCGGACGCTCTTATAAACATAATGTTGAACTTTAGCCTTCAGCAAATCGTGTTATCTCCAACCCGCTTACAGAACACTGCCAAGAGCATCTTAGATCTGATACTGATTAGTCAGCACTTCCCGGAAGACCGTGTTCGCACTGACGTAGTTGACGGCATATCAGACCATCACATAGTCATATGCTTGCTGCCGCTTGACTCCAGTATTGCATGTGAGCAGCGTGGATCAACTGTAATTGATTTCAAAAAAGCTGACGATAGCAGCGTATTAACCCATCTCGCACATGAGTTCGAAAACTTTTTGCAGCTAGCTTTTGACGCATCCAGTGATACTAATCTACTTTGGCTAAGTTTCAAATCTACTGTTATGTACCGTGTCACTAACTTCATACCAAAAAAACACAAGAAAGCTCCAGGGAATAATCCTTGGATAACACGTGAGGTTATCCAGGCCAAGCGTAGGTTAAAAAGGTTGCATGTGGCTGCGAAAAACCATAAGTGTAAATCATCCATTCAACAGAAGCTGCAGTGTGCAAAATCAGAGTTTAAGCAAAAAAAGAAAACTGCCAGACAATATTATTTTAGTGTTACACTTCCAAGCTTTATTAAAAGCAATCCAAGCAAATTTTGGAGATACCTTCGCACTAGCAATAATACACAGTCGCACACGGATTCAGGGGAAAGAACGTAAAGGCTAACGAATACAACATTTTTTTCCAATCAGTGTTCACGACTGATAATGGTGCCACTCCTCCAGTATTATCCCTCGATTCGCCAAGCATCGATCACCTAAAAGTCACAGATACAGGAATACTGAACTTGCTTCTTAACTTAGATCCTAAAAAATCGAGTGGTCCAGATGATATTCCTAACGAGTTCCTTAAGAGGTACGCGGAATGGTGTAGCAAGTTTCTTGGGTTAATCTTTCGAAAGTCGCTTACTTCATCCCAGCTGCCAGATGACTGGAAGATTGCAAAAATAATACCTATTCATAAATCAGGAGAACAGTCATTGGTTTCAAATTACCGGCCGATATCCCTCACTAGCATTTCATGTAAGCTACTAGAGCATATCATCCTCAAACACATAACTGTTTTTCTCGAGAAAATAAAATTTTTGTCTCCTAATCAACACGGATTTCGTAGTGGCCTGTCCACTGTTACGCAGCTAACGGAGGTAGTTTATGATCTAGCTTCTACCATAAATAATCGTGGCCAAACAGACATAATTTTACTTGATTTCTCTAAGGCTTTCGATTGCGTATGTCACAGAAAGTTACTAATTAAACTGAAAAGTGCGATAGGAGAGGGGTTATTGTTTTCTTGGATAGAAAATTTCCTAACAAATCGCTCACAGTTCGTGCAGTATGAAGGTCATATATCAAACATAGTCCCCGTAACTTCTGGGGCCCCTCAAGGTTCCGTCTTGAGACCACTACTATTTTTAATTTTCATAAATGACCTCATGTCAAACATTAACTGTAATATCAAACTGTTTGCAGATGACTGCATTATTTATAAGGAGGTAACCAGCTACACAGACCACATAAATCTCAATGAATGTCTAACCAAGCTAGCAGATTGGTGCGCTTAGTGGCAAATGTCCATCAATGTGAAAAAATCCGTAGCTATGACGGTAACACGTAAGCAGAATCCATCGCAATTCATCTACACCATTCATGGTTCACCACTGACTAATGTTGTGCAGCATATGTACTTAGGCATTACATTAACGTCTGACCTGAGATGGGATACACACATAGCTAACGTCACTGCGGCCGCACTGCGTAAACTTTTCTACCTAAAAAGACGACTTAGAATTGCACCAGCGCCCGCAAAACTCTTGGCTTATACCATGTTCGTAAGACCAGTATTAGAATATGCCAACGTAGTTTGGTTTCCTTATACGCTAAGTGGTATTAGTAAATTAGAGGCAGTACAACACAAAGCCATACGGTTTGTACACAACAAGTTCAAACGTACAGATTCTCCCACTGACCTTCTGGCTTCTTCTGGCATTGAAAAACTAGCTACTAGGGCAAAAGAGGCACGCCTGAGGTTCTTGTACCAGTTGTTACATGGCCACTACAAGGTAGAT